CAGGAATGGCTGGGCAAACAGCAACCACTGATTTTTCAAAAGAGGAAACATTCCTAGGTGACTGCCAACTTTCTCCGTTTCCTTGCCTTTTCCTCTTCCCCTGCAAGCTAGCACCTCCACCATTCCCCCTACCCTGCCAGCCAGCTTCACTGCCAGGCTCGAACATGCCCCATGGAGTTCGGGATGGGCCCCGATGAGCCGGACTTCCCAGGAGCTGAAGCTGATTCCACTGAGGCTCTTGGAGCTAACTCTTTTCTCCCCTCCGTATCTCCAGAGTGCTTTTCACATAAATGACACAGCTCCTTGCAAAATAATATGAGCACAGTCGTCTTGTAGAGTATCTGCAGGGTCTTTACAGAAAGTAGAAAATAGGGCTGAAGAGCATGGGCATGGTTTTCAGAAATCAATCTCAACATCGCCAAGAACTTGCTCTACTCTCCAGCCTGAGGCAAATACCTAAGTCTTTCCCAAGAAATGCACAAGGAGAACCTTAACAGGCCTGGACACACCCAGGTCAGGGAAGAAGAGTGCTCCTGATCTTAGATTACAAGGATTTTTCTTCTTGGCACACACTCCCGCTGCTGGAGAGAGTGCCTCTTTTGGAGAGCTGATATAAAACAGCATGCAAGGCTTCCCTGGTGGCGCAGTGGTTAAGAATCCACCTGCCGATGCAGGGGACACGGGTTCGAGCCCTGGTCCAGGAAGATCCCACATGCTGCGGAGCAACTAAGCCCGTGCGCCACAACTACTGAGCCCACGTGACACAACTACTGAAGCCTGCGTGCCTAGAGCCTGTGCTCCGCAACAAGAGAAACCACTGCAGTGAAAAGCCCGCGCACCACAATGAAGAGTAGCCCCTGCTCGCCGCAACTAGAGGAAGCCCGTGCACAGCAACGAAGCCCCAGTGCAGCCATAAATAAAGAAATACATTTATTAAAAAAATAAATAAATAAAGAGTGTGCAATCCAAATCAACATTTTTAGTACAGTAAAGGGAGAGAGGGCATTAAGCGAAGAAGCAAGTGGCTTTCCTAAAGCCAGGATTTGTTCCCATTGGTGCTGCCTAGGCAGGTAGGGTAGGTCAAGCTGCTATCAACCACTCTGTACAGAGTATATGTTGAAACCTGGGGCTTTCTCAATTGCTGTCAATTGGCTTCCTCTGGCTCCTGTTGCCTGGGGTGAGTATGATGGACAACCTTGAAAGGGATCTGGGATAAAAGCTTCCTTATTCCCCTAGCAGATCGCATGGAGGACTCTGAAGGCAGAGATCAGCCTAATTAGGGCTGCGGTGCTCCTACAGTTTAAGAGATGGGAAGCTTATGCTCCCACCACCCCTTCTGAGCTTGAGGCTTTCCTGTTCATACCAGGAACACCGCTCTCTCCCCTCATTGCTCTTTGAAGATATTCTTTTGGCTGCAAAAATAACGAACACCCCAAGCTCTAAAACACTAGAGCCTGGAGCTAATCGTTAGAGGCAGAAGACCCAATCTGTGAACCAGTGGGGTCTTGGCTTCCTAATTTCCCTCTGGTTTGGGGGAACATTATGGCTCTGACAAAACCCTCCCCAGAGGCCTGGGATAAACTCAAAATAGGCCCCTTTATTGCTCATTTAGCAGCACTGAGAGAATGTTGAGTAAGAAATGCCCCAAACACAAGATTCCTAGAATGACTTTTCTAAAACACCAATCTGAAAGCATCACTGCCCTATTCCTGGGTTAAAACCTTTCTTTAGCCTCTTGTCCCAAAAACAAATTCTGAATTCTTCAGCTGAGCCTCAGCATCTTTTCATGATGTGTCTCCTCCTCCAACCTCTTCTCTCACATCATCTCTCTCTTCGGTCACAGCCAAGCTTCCAATAATTCACCACCATTTCTCTTTTTCACCCCCAGGCCTCTGCATCGCGACCTCTCTGTACCACGACTCTGCCTTTAGGACTCATCTCCCGCAGCGTGTTTCCAGACAGACTCTCCCTCCCCTCCCCCATCCGCACCCTGCATCTGAGTTACATGATCCCAAAGCACCTGGGTAGTCACTATGACAGGTGTAACCAATGTCAGCGGCATCGCCTGTGAACTTGACCTTGAAGCTACCTGAGGATAGGGCATCATCCTTTGACACCTCTTCTTGCCCAACTCCCAGTACCCTCTGCAGCCCCCTCCAGCTGACAAATATTTTCAGAGAGGACGAATGAATAAACAACAGCAGGCAAGAAAGAAATCCCTGGGGGCTTCCCCGGTGGCGCAGTGGTTGAGAGTCCGCCTGCCGACGCAGGGGACACGGGTTTGTGCCCCGGTCCGGGAAGATCCCACATGCCGCGGAGCGGCTGGGCCCGTGAGCCATGGCCGCTGAGCCTGCGCGTCCGGAGCCTGTGCTCTGCAACGGGAGAGGCCACAACAGTGAGAGGCCCGCGTACGGCAAAAAAAAAAAAAAAGATGCTCTCCAAATCATAAGGGCCAAGATGAGCCTCCTGGTTCTTGGCACATAGGGGAAAAAAAGCACACACACTCACTCCCCTTCTCATTCATTTATTCATGTCTTCGGCTTTTGTGCACCTTCTCTGTGCCAGGCAGAGGGCTAGGCACAAGGATGTCAAGGGGAACAAGCTAGGTGTGGCCCTGAATCACAGAGTATTTGACAAGGTCTATTTGGGGAACGGGATCTTCCTGTCTGAAAGGAAACCTAGTAATAGATTCACAGAGAACAGGCCACATGAGAACTTCTAAGGACTGGCTGGGATTCAAGAATCTTAGGGAAGAAAGAAAGACAGTCTTCAAATAAATGTGATAAAGAGTCTTTTCAAGTATCATATGATATCACTTATATGTGGAATCTAAAAAAATAATACAAATGAACTTATTTACAAAACAGAAACAGACTCACGGACATAGGAAACAAACTTATGGTTACTAAAGGGGAAGGGGTGGCGAAGGGATAAATTAGGAGTCTGGGATTAACATACACACACTACTATATATAAAATAGATAATCAACAAGGACCTCCTGTATAGCACAGGGAACTCTACTCAATATTCTATAATAACCTACATGGGAAAAGAATCTGAAAAAGAATGGATATATGTACATGTAAAACGAAATCATTCTGCTTGTACACCTGATTGATTTAGGTTGTACACAACGTTCTAAATCAACTATACTCTAATATAAAGTTTAAAAAGTCTTTTTACACCTGGTGGTGAGTAACCATTTTCCCTGAGAGGAAGCAGAGACAGGAAAGGCAGAAATTGGTTCCGTACGCAGCTGCAGGGATCCTAGTAGGATCCCGGCCTCCTTGGAGGGTAGTTAAAGGTGTGATGTGTTAAATCTCACTGTCAGAGGCCACGGCCGCCCTGTCTGCACCTTCAGGAAGGGCCAGCAGCTCCTTGAGATCAAAGAAGATGGGAAGTATAGCTCTGGGACAGGTGCCAGCACCCGGGGCCACAGCAATGCTGCTGGTGTAGGCCTGGGCTCAGACCAAACCAGCGTCAAACCCTGATTCCAAGACTAAGCCCTGCGACTAAGACTCTCTGTTCCCATTATCCAGAGAACGGGGTGATGATTGCCACCTCCCAGGATTACTGTGAGGGTAAGTGAGACGATGCATTGGGACATGTTGGCATAAAGTCTGTACGTAAAGGGCTGTTCAAGTTAGGATGATACTGTCATTCTTAAGGTGGGCGTCATGCGAGGAGTGACTGAGATAGTGATTCAAATGCTCAGCTCTTGTGGTAAAGTCTAATACTGTAGGATATATTATGTTATATAATAATACACAAGAATATAATACAATAATGTATAATACAGTAACATCACTAGTGTGTCTTTACTGAGCAGTATGTGTTAGCCCTGTTCTAAGCACTTCACATGTACTAGGCTCATTTAATCCTCCCATCAGCCCCATGAGGTTCTATTTTTATCCTCAGTTTGCAGGGGAGGAAACTAACACATCCAAGTCATACAACCACAAAGTCTTGGCGGAGGGGCTGGAACCCAGGCGACTGGCTGCACTGCACTCCCTTCTTGCCACTAACAAAAATTCAGAACATCAAACCTGGCACCCTGAAGCCTCTGCCTCTGGCTCGGCCCGTCCAGCGGCTGCACTCGGTTGTCTGCTGCTCACCACGGTCTGTGGCCTCAAATCTTTCCTTTGAAACCTGCCTTGGCTTGCAGTCTGCACCTACTTCCACTTTCAACATGCCATTTCTACTTTCAGCCTTCAGAGTCCTCACCCGTTATTGTGTCAAGATCTCATGACTGCCCCGAGACGCTCTGCTTTGTCTTTTAAGAGAAGCCCCTTATTTCTGGCATCTGGTCAAGGAGTTCATATTCCCCTACCCACAGGGGTGCTCAGTCTGCCTATTTCTGGCTCTGTGTTGCTTTTGAAGCCTACGGAATGAAAGTGTTTTAAAACAACAGCAATGACACTTTTGGCCTTTACTTCTACGAGCACAAGACATAGTTTCCCAACTGTTCGGGGTGGTGGGACCCTTGGAACCCTCCTCTGCTTTGGAAGTGAACTTCTGCTTTTATCTGTTTTTATATACTTGGATTTCACGTGAAGTTTCATTTGAAAACGGGTCCTATTTTTAAAAACGTTTGAAAACCACTGAAGAGTCCGAACATATTTGGAATTACCAAAGAGATATTGAGCCATCTCTCTGTTCCCTCCCGACCCAAACCTTTGTAAGGCCCCTAGAACCCAGGCAGGGCACAGGTCTGATGAAGGACGTTTTCATCTTAACCATCCAGTCTCTCCCTTAAGTTTCCAGTTGACCTTCCACCTTCATAAAGAACATTTTTACCCTAAGGACAGACTGACTCCTTGGAGTGACCTTGACAGTTCATAATTTAGAATTTCAAGAAGCCATTCTCTAGCCTGTAGAGTCCTCCAAATCAGGAAAATAAGCACAGAAACATGGTAAACTCTTAACTGTTCATGAGAGTCCTCTGGGGTAGCAGGAGATAGGACACAGCAAGGACAGATGGACTTCTGAAGAGCCTTACCTGTTTTTCGATGAAAGCGTTGATTCTCTGTAGCATCCCCTCGCACGTGAATTCATATGGCATGTACGGCTCAATCTGCAGAAACAGAACACGGTATCATGAAAGAGGAAGACCCAGGACATGCAACACTTACCCAGTCCTCCATTGATTCACTCACACTCAGGTGCCAACACCTGCAGGGATCCTTGTGAGGGGCTAAGACTATGAACTTGGAAGTCAGCAGACCTGGCTTCACAACCTCATTCTGCTCCTTATCAGCTGTGGGACCCTGAGCAAATTATCTACCACCTCTGAGCCTCAGATCCTTCATGTGTAAAATGGTGATAAGAAAAACCCATTTCTTGGAACGTGTGGTAAAGATTACGGGGGGGAAAAAAGCGCTTAGTTCAGTGTCTAACACACAGTAGGCACTCAACAAAAGGTGGAGAGTGTCAGTTGTTAGAAGGTAAGCTCCATGGGGCAGGGTCCATGGCTGCTGGGTCATCTGCATCCCGGTGCTGAGTGGGGCGGCACACGTTGGAACCAGCAAACATCTGGTGAATGAATGCATGCTCCCTGCCCTGAGAAAGGCACACGATGAGTGGTTTCAGGACCCGTGACAGTGACAAAAGCTTTGTTTTGCATTAGTAGGTGAGCACGTTCCCAAAGAACTCATGGTGCAAAAACAGAGTGATGAAGTGTCCCAGAGAGTTCAGCTAGAGGGTCCCAGGAAGCTAGAAGGTCAAAGCCAACTTCTGCTCATGCTGGGCTTTTAAGGTCAGCTATGACTCCAGCAAGCCAAGACTGAGGAGGGCAAAGATGCGGAAGACGTTCCAGGGGGGAGCATTAGTGGGAGATTAGACATGAAAGAAGGACAGCAGGAGGACAGAACTAGGATCATGGAAACTGGTGAGACAGGCTAGGAAGAGGTTCACTGGATTTCCACAAAAGACTTGTGGTTTCTACTCTAAGGAGCCTAGCCTTTACTTGAGGGTAGCAAGCAACGTAGAAGGTGCTTCACTGGGGTAGGGGAAGCAATCTGATCAATACTGTGACACCTGATGGAAGGGGAAGAAATGCGGGTTGGAGCTCTGCAGTGCCTGTGCCGACACTGTGAGGCCTGCGTCTTCAGGAGCAGCCGGCTGGCATTATTAATCTGAAATGGAAATTTCACTTGGGAGAATATGGCCAGCATTCCAGTTTGTTACAGCTTCAGAAAGCCCAGTAGCACTTATCAGCACATTCACCACCTCCCTCTTAAGTCTACACTCGCCTACCTCAAATCTACAGGGTGGAGAGCTGGAGAAAACATCCGTGAGTTGAGGCCTGCTGGAAATGGGACAATTGACAGAGAAGACACCCTTCTGGGGGCAGCCAAGTAGCTGTCCTCAAGGCAGCTTCTCCCGTTTTCTGTGTGTGTTGATTCACACGTTACATTTGAAATCTTCTTCAACCATGATTAGTAATTTCATAACATGTCTTCGAATGCACAATTAGATGACACATCACACAGGCTGTACCTCAGCCATCCCTGCCCACACCCATCCAGAGAGAGCCGAAAGAGGCTGAGCCATAAGTACTGTAATATCAGGGTAGGACTATTCTGCATGAGCTGAGGTCCTTTTGTTCCTAGATAGTTTATCTCATAAGAGCTCAAAATGCTTTAACTGACTCACGTCTTTCGAGCTTGCATCTTCTCATCTCAAGCTTTTGCACTTGCTGTGCCTTCTCTAACCCAACCACAGTCCTTTCCACCAAATGTAGACTTTTTCTTTTAAAGAATATTTATTTAATCACCTTGTGAGCGATTCCAGAAGCTTTCTCTAACTGTCTAGAGATATGCCTCTTCCCATGTTTGTGGGAAAAGATATGAACGAATAAGAACAACAACAAAAAATGTACAATAGAGGACTTCCATATTGGGCTCATTTGGGGATAAGTAGGATTTCTAGAGTGAGGTAAATAAACATCGGTGGGCCATCTGTCATGCGACCGACAGATCCAGTTATATGGTGGGAAGCATACTGAATACTCAAGGGTCATTCCTACAACATATTCTAAAGGGTATCCATTAGAAATGAATGTGCATTAATTCAAAGGGCTTATGCAATAAACACAGAAAAATGGCTCTTCCTGTGTCCTACCAACCAAACCCAGTTTAACCAAAGGGGATGTGACTCATTAACTGCTTTGTGGCCAGTTCACTGTTTTAAAAGATAAGAAGCTAATTTTCCTATAAAGGAAAAGCAAAAAAAAAAAAAAAAAAAAAAAAGAAAGAAAGAAAGAACTTGTATTCTTAAGCCACCTCTGCCATGAGTTCCACTAGCCCTGCTGTGTACAGAAGCAGGGCCCTCTGTGTGGGAAAGCTCCCCAGAGCCCCGGCTTTAGGAATACTGAGTACTGGCTAGCCTCTGATGTCGGATCTGCTGCACACATTTTGTGTGTGTGTGTGTGTGTGACAGTTTTCTGTAGAACTTCAGGAACAAGTCAAGGTCTTTTGGGGGATGAATGAAAGGGAATGTTGAAACCACACCAGTCACTGAGAATACCAAGTGGGGTCAGTTATGGAGAAGCAGGGGGGAATGTGCTTGGTCATCTTGCTGGTGGACAAAGGACTGTTACTCATATGGCCATAGGAAGGATGCCTGCAGGCTGCACCATGCAGTCCCTGCTGGCCTTGGAAACGTTCCCTACCCCCCATCTTTTCCTCCGTTTTCTCCTCTTCACCTCCCTTCCAGTGGGATTTCCCGTCTCTAGTATTACTCAGCGTTCTAAGTCAGAGTACGACTTCTACAGGGAACTGCTCGCTGATATCAGTTAACCTCTGCATGGTCCCACCTGACAGGTGGCTTGGCATCATTCAATGACAGATGGTCTTAGAAGGTACCAGAAGTTCAGGGGTTGAGTCTTATCTCCTCTATCTACTAAGCACAGAATTTTAAGTCAGACATTTCCTGGAATTTCTCTTGATGATTTCAAATGTAAAATCGGTCATGTCATTCCCCTGCTCAAAACTACCCATCATACTCAGAATAAAATCCAGAATCCCTCTTGTGGCCTATTTAGAGGCCCTACACACTCTGGCTCCTGCAGACCCTTTTATGGTCTCCATTATTTCTGATGGGAAGCTGGTGGTCTTTCATACTGTTATTCCCCTGAATGTAATAAAATTTTCTCTGGCTGCTTTCAAGATTATTTTCCTCATCTTTCGTTTTTGGCAGTTCAGCTATGATGTATCTAAGTGTGTTTTTCTCCATATTTATCCTGCTTGGCCTTCACTGAGCTCCCACAATCTGCAGGTTGATGTTATTAATTTTAGAAAATTCTTAGCCAGTATCTCTTCACAAATATTTCTTCTGGCCATTCTCTCCTCTGAGGTTCTAATTACACATAAATTAGGCTGCTTGAAGATTGTTCCAGGGATCTCATATGCTCTTTTTTATCTTGTTCTTTTTCCTCTAATTTCAATAGTTTCTATTGATAAGTCTTTAAAGTTCACTGATTATTTTCCTCTGCTGTGTATAATCTGATCAGCCCACTGAAAGAGTTAATTTCTGATACTGTACTTCTCACTTCTAGCATTTTTTCATTTGGCTTTTAAAAAAGTTCCCATCTCTCTGCTGAAATACCCCATCTATTCACATACGTTGTCCACCTTTTTCATCAAAGCTTTTTTTTAAAAAAAAATTAATTAATTTATTTGGCTGCATGGGGTCTTAGTTGTGGCAGGCAGGTTCCTAAGTTGTGGCATGTGAGCTCTTAGTTGAGGCATGCACGTGGGATCTAGTTCCCTGACCAGGGATCGAACCCTGGTCCCCTGTATTGGGAGCACGGAGTCTTAGCCACTGGACCACCAGGGAAGTCCCCAACAAACCTTTTAATACATTTATCTCAGCATTTAAAATTTGCTGTATGGTAATTCCAACATCTGAGCCATCTCTGAGTCTGGTTTTATTGATGGTGTCCTCTCTTAATGATGGGTCATGTTTTCTTGCTTTTTTGAGTGTCATGTAATTTAAAATCTTGTAATTAAATATGAGAAAGCTTGGCACCAAATTTCTGACCTATTTATCACAAGCATAAGGACTATAATGTTAATAGTCTTTGTATTAATCTAATTCCTTACTTTCTCTCTCACTCTCGTCTTTCCCTTTACTTCATTTAATGCTGCTTTTCTTTTTAATTTTTTTCTTAATAAACTAGTCAAAAATACTAGTTTCAATCCAGGTTCTACTACTTACTAGTTGTGCAATTTTATGTAAATTACTTAATTTCTTTAAACCTTAATTTTCCTATCTGCAGAAGGATTAAATGAGACAAGGCTCATAAAGATGTACAGAGAGAGATTCTGGAGGTATAAAAAGAGCTTCTCCCTACATATGACCTACTATTATAATTACTTTTTATTCCCCCTTAAGTGGCCTTAAATGGTTTTAGGGAAAGCTTTGGTCAGGGTTTTAAAAAGGGGAGCAGTAGATGTTCCATGAAGTGAACAGAGCCTCATGCAGAAGTGGATAGAACTCAGCACCCACTTAGTGCTTTACACGTCAGGCATTCCCACGAGATTTTTATTTGACAAAAGGGATCTATTATCTAAAAAGTTTTGGACTCTATGATCCAAGATTTTCTGCCTCTACGTTAGCTTTCAAATTACTCCTCTTCAAAAGCATGCACACTTAACTAAGTGTTGTGGGTTGAACTCTGTCCCCCACCCACAAAAGATATGTTGAAGTCCTAACCCCCAGTACCTGTGAATGGGACCCTATTTGGAAATAAGGTCTTCACAGGTGGAATCAAGGTAAGAAGAGGTCATAGTGATTTAGGGTGGGCCCTAATCCAACATGACTGATGTCTCTATGAGAAGTGGAGAAAACAGACAGAAAGACACACACACACACACACACACACACACACACACACAACACCATATGACAGCAGAGACAGAGATCAAAGTGTTGCAGCTGCAACCCAAGGAATACCTGGGGCCACCAGAAGGTGGAAGAGGTGAGGAAGGACGCACCATGAGAGGCGTCAGAGGGAGCATGGCCCTGCCGACATCTTAATTTCAGATGCCGACATCTTAATTTTAATTGCAGCCTCCAGAACTGTAAGAGAATAAATTTCTGTTGTTTCAACCACCACTTTGTGGTTCTTTGTTATGGCAGCTTTAGAAGCTAATACCCTAGAGGACTCTGAGACTGAAGAAAGAAGAGCCTTCGATCTCTGCAAGAAGGATCCTCTGGTGGGAAACTGCAGACATGCAGCAGGTACTTGAGGTGGCCAGCAGTACCACACCCACTCGGCACTTCATCTCTTGGCTTGGCCACCCGAGGTTTGGGGGACTTCTGCCCTAAACTTGAGACTGGGATGAGATCGTACACGTCACTGATGGGAAGCTCTGAGCAGCTACCTCAAAGCTCAATAACTAGACCTGCTCTAAAGGGACATGAGTGACACGCTGGAGTACTCCTGTTCCCCAGGAGATGTGCTCAGTAAGCTGAAACTGGCAGTTGGGAGGGCCCCACTTTATTCCCCAAAGGGGAAAGGCGGCCCTTTACATGGGCCAACTGGCAACTCCTCCTCGGATATACGCCTTTCTAGCCTCTCCCCCTTGATTCTCACTGTTCCTCTAACTCATGTCTTTCTGGGCTCACTTCTCCGTTTAACTTTGCAGATTCCTACTCATGCTCTGAGACTTAACTCAGTGCTGCATTCTCCAGATGTCCTTATAAGGAACAAAGAAGACAGAAATAGAAGAGAAACTTACGGTTACCGGGGGGAAAGGAGCGGGGAGGGATAAATTAAGACTTTGGGATGAGCAGATACAAACTACCGTGTATAAAGCA